ACGGGGGAGGAAGAGGCGTGAGAACAGAGGGGGAAGATGGGGAGAGGGTGAAGCAGGGGGGATGGAGCAGGGAGAAGGGCGGAGGGATGAGGGAAGAGGGACTGGGGGAAGAGAGATGAGGGAGGGAGGGCGGAGGGATGTGAAAGAAGAGCAGGCGTGTGAGACATTTGGCTTTCCCCCTCCCCCTCTCCCCTCCCCTGGGGTCGGTCCACCATGCCGTTTGAAGGGGGGGGACAAAGGGGGCCGAGCTCCTCAGCGCATCCCCGTGGCCTCCAGAGCATCTCCACAACCCTAAGACGGCGCATGAGGTTCTAAACAAGCGCATGAGGTCCAAAACAAAAAGGCCCAAGATGGCCCCAGAGACCTCCAAGACGCCCCAAGAAGCCTCCAAGAGGCCCCCAGGAGGCGAACATCAGTGATTCCCCTGAAAGTATATATTAATATGAAGCCCCGGATTTGGGCGTTTTCGCCTTTTCGATTTTCTGACGCTCCAAGACTGCCCAGAACGCCCCCAAGACTACCCCAAACCGGCCCACGAGGCCTCCAAGGGGGGCCCAAACCGCCCAAGAGCGCCCCAAGACGGCCCGAGAGGCGCTCAAGATGGCTCAACAGGGCCCCAAGACGGCCCCTAAAGGGGCAAGAGAGGGATCACGAAACGAAGCTCCAAGCCTTCCGCCCCAAGAGGCCCTCAGGAGGCCCCAAGAGGCGCCCAGGAGGCCGCAAGAGGCCCACAAGAGGCCCCCTAAGAGGCCCCCTAAGAGGCCCCCTAAGAGGCCCCCAAGAGGTCTCAAGAGGCCGCAAAACGGCCCTCAAGAGGCCTCCAAGATACCTCCAAGAGGCCCCCCGCGAGATCCCAACGAACATCCAATAGGCTTCATCATCCCCGCAACCCAGGCACGGTGGTGGGATGGGCCGAAGGCCATTCGATCCGCCGCCCCCTGTCGATTCATCGCAAGGGTGCCTGGCGTGCTGGACCTCTCGGTTTTGGTTTTGGTTCTTGTTCCACAAGAACTGCCCCTGGCGCTTCGGCCCGTCCTGCCGGGGTCCCGGGAGGCCCTTCCAGGAGCGCAAACTCCGGAACAAATCCTCCCTGATACGGCCGTTTCGCTCGGGACATCCTCAAACATCGCGAAGATGGCCCAAGATGGCCTCCAAGTCCGCCCAAGATGGTCCAAGACGGCCTCCAAGACGGCCCAAGAGAGTCCAAGACGGCCCTAGACGGCCCAAGAGGCCCTCCAGAGGCCTCCCAGACGGCCCAAGAGGCCTCAAAGAGGTCCTCCAGTAGGGCCCGAAGAGGCCGAAATTCTTGATTTTGGAAAAGGCTTTTGAAGGAGTTTGGAATTTGCTTCTTCTCGGCATTCGGACTGCTCAAGACGCCCCAAGAGGCACCCAAGATCGCCCAAGAGGCCCCCAAGAGGGCCCCATGACGCCCAAGTGGCCTCCAAGACGGCCCCAAGAGGGCCCAAGAGACCTCCAAGACGTCCTCCAAGAAGGCCCGAAAGGGCCAAGACGTCCTCCAAGAAGACCTTCAAGATGCCCACGTGTTCTCCGAAGGCTTTCCAAACCAATTCGGGGAACACATGGTCCGATAGCTTGGCAGGTCTGGCCTCAACGTTCGTCCACATAGGCGCTTCCACAAAGGCAGGGGGCGGCGGTGATTCGCCGTAGGCGTCTTCGATAATCGTGCCCCTCCCCTTCTACCCCTTCCCTCTTCCTCCGTTCCTTTTTCTGAAGGAGGCCGCTGAAAGGCATCCTACGAACCTCTCAAATGCATCCAAGGATCTCCTGACCCACCAAATAAATTCCAAGATCGTCGCACGCACTCGCTCCTTGAGGGGGTTCGGCGGAATGGCGTAAGCCACTTGAATACAACCCAATAGGGATGAGGATTTTTTAACGACGGAGGGCGGACGGAGAAGGAAGCCAGACAGATGGGAACGGTGTCTGGCGCCACCAATGAAGCAAACCTGGGGCGCAACATGCTGCGCAAACTGTGCCGCACAATAATTGTAGTACCGTCTCGTGTCGTGTCGTTGCACGAGCTGTTGAGGGTCTCTTGACGGGATGACGCGTGCCCATCAATCGAAACAAATGGACAATGACCCCTGGCGGGTTTGCATGGGCCCCTGGCCCCTGGCCTAAACATTCCTCCCCAGTCCAGCCTGGAAGCCACCAAGAACGCCCAAGATGGCTGCGTGGGCCTTCCGCAGAACCCCCAACTGGACAAACAACCCCTCTGACAGTCCGAAGGCGACCCAGAACCATCCCCAGATGGCCCCAAGAGGGCCCCAGAGACAAAATCAACGAAAAGCGACTCCAATGTTCCAGCTGCGCGTGACTACAGTAGGACCTCGGGAATTCCACAAAATTTCTAAAACGGTCTGAGGAGGGCCTCACGGGAATACTATGGTGACATGGAGCTACTTCAAACAAGGCCCGGGATGGCCCCAGATGGCGTCCGGAGGAGCCCACGATTGCCAAAGAGAGTCCCAAGACCGCCCATAACGGCCCCGTCTTGGGCCCACGACTGCCGAAGACATGCCAAGAGGGCCTAAACTGATCCAAAGAAGCCCCCGAGGGCCATACAGGCTCCCAAGCGGACCCTCAGACAGCCCAAGTCAGTCAAAATCCTGAAAACATCCAATGATTCTCGGCTGCTTGTGGGATTCCAAGCAGGGCGTGCGAAAATGTCCCAGGAGAGTCCTAAGAGTGTTCCAATTAGCTCAAACCTCCTCCAAGGAGAGGCCCGAGAGACCCCCAGAGGGCATCCGGAGGAGCCACGTAGAGATCGAATAAAAGTTAGAATGTCAAAACCTGACTGGAGACTGGGGCCACCTGGGAGAGTTTGGCTTGGAGGGCGGACCTTTGGGTTGTCTTAGGGGGGACTCACAGACAACAAAAAGAGGCCAAAGTGGCTCTAAAGGGCTTCCACAGGAGCAGCCAAGGCACAAGGACATGATGTTCGCGGTTGAGGAAAAAGGAGAAGACGGAGGATTAGGAATCTTTGGAGGGGGAAGTCGCGTGAGGCCAGGGAAACTCTTCTGGAGCGGGGGGGGGGGAGAAGGGCGCCAGATGCCAATATACTTGCAATGCTACTACGTTCAAATATTGATACTCAATGCTCACGATGCTGAACCGGTAGCGGGCCAACAACACGCACATACGCATACATATGTCACTCGTAATTCATGAAGGTCTGTGAAGACAGCGGGCCTAGACAGGCACAGTATATGTATTGAGCAGCATTTTGCGCCCAGCCTTCGCGCTTGCGATGGCAGCGCTCGGAGAGGCCCAATCCTCTGGGGTGAGGCGGGCCTGTATATTGTACGTGTGGAACGCTATGATCACGCGTTCAAAAGCCAAACGATGAGATTCGCTTGATGCACCAGTCCGTAGCCCTAGGCGTTCGGACAGGCATTCAGGGGCGAGGATACGAATGTGCCAGGCCATGCATACAGCGTGCCACATGTGCGAGCAAACAACATAGTGTGGCATGGCGTCAGTCGCCGACGGGTCATCTACTCTCGAGCAGCCGAAGACGCACCCCTGCACTCCAGCAGCTCGGTGAAGCCTGCGAGATGTGGTCCATCCACCGGCCCAAGTTTTTACAGGGGCCGATTGGCCCGCAGGAGGAAACGATTTCAAAAGCTCCAGGACGGGTTCCCATTCGATCGGGGCCGAGGGAGGCACTGACCCCTGGGGCCACCAGGACTTCAGACGGGAGAGAAAGGTGGGGACAAGGGAGGAGACATCAAGAAGCGAGGAGAGGAGGTGGGAGTGGATGAAGGCGCTGCAGGCGTATGGGCACCGCAGGCGATCGATCAGCAGCAGCACGCTTGGCAGCGCGCCACTCAGAGAGGGCAGAGCGGCAGGCCTTCACCAGCGGGTCAGGGCGAGGCTGGCCCTTGTGCCCCGTGGCCGCCTCCCTCAGGTACAGGGCGAGGGGCGGCTCCTTCCAGTGCTTGGGGGCCATGTTGGGCAGGTTCCCGAAGTGCTGGAACTCGAGATCATTCTGAATCGCCAACTGCATCCTGCGCATCCAGAGGTCCCAGTTCGTGATCGTCTCTTTGGCACTGCGTATGAGCGTTGCAGCGGCCGAGTACTCCATCGATGTGATCTTGAGCGCCTTCGACCACTGTCCTATGCTCAGAATGTCCACCAGGCGCATTGACTGGGGCGGGATGTGCCAGATGCGGCGCAGCAGCCAGGCTTCTTGGCGTCTGAGATGCGAGGGCCATGGAGCCAGTTGGGCCATGTAGGAGGCCTTCGATGCAGCCCTCTGGTTGTGCAACATGATGCTCGTGCTGGTAGGGGCACACGAGTCCGCTATCGCATGCGCCACTACTTTCCAGCCCTCGACCACCTTCTGCCAGCGCACGTCGTTGGATACCGCAGGTCCCAGAAGCACTCCGAGGTACGCTGCCATCGGTACAATCTGCATCTTCTCCCATCGCGGCACCAGCTCTCGAAGCTTGGCGTGTACACGGGCCTGCAACTCTGTGCTGAACTCCTCCGCCAGAGGGATGATCTTGCACTTTATCGTCTTGAGGGTGAGCCTCGCCAGCTTCTCCGCCGCGGTAAAGACCTGGCCGAGTGGCTTCAGCATCTGCATCGAGGGAAGAACTGACCCAATGCCATCCGCGCACGCCCCGATCACTGCTTGCTTGTGGTGACGAGTGCGATGGAACATGTCCCTGATCAGCGGGTCCATGCCGACTGCCCAGAGAGTGCCCGACCATGGGCAGCCCTGAA